ATCGGCTTTGGGATTAAATATATTGAATTTGTGAAATTTAGTTTGATAAATTATTCTTGTTCACTTTAAGCCTCAAATATAGCAGCAAGTATTTTAAGGTGATATATTTGGATTACTCTTTGTAGATACTGGCGTGATTGATTTAGTTTACATATTAAATTTGTCTAAGTAAAATTCAATGAAATTGAGCAGATTATACGTGTGCATAAAATAAAGTATATGACATATTTATGCATTTTAAAATATTATAAATCAAGAATTTTGATTATCAGTTCAAACTCTATCATTATTATAATAAATATAGATTAAATTATCGTGTATGTACAGACTAAATAATTGGATGTAATAATTGGATAATTGAACTAATTAATTGGATAATATCCTTAAGTATATATTTATATTTATTAAGGAATAAAAAGCCGTAGAGGGGAGAGGAATGATAAAATTTTCACTGAATGATAAAAGAATTTTCATTAAAAGTTCCAATACTAGCATTTTGAAATTGGATTAATTTGTAAAAAAATGTTACAAATTATTACCAATCCTCAATAACTAATTTTTGAAAATTAGACTTCATTTCTGATTTTGACTTTATTTCAATAAAGTCCGACAATATTGCTAAATTTCTAAAAACTTGGAGCTCGTAAACTTTTAAATGTATATAGAAGGAAATATGACTAATTTTGGATTAACAATATACAAAAAGAAAAAATTAATGTTAAATTGAAGAAAACGTGCATAAAATTTCATGCTCTTACCTGTCAATTATCACAGGATCTGAAGGGGTTTCGTTCCTGTTTCCGCAACTCTTCTTGTCGCAGCACCGACTAGTGAAAAAAGAATTTTTAAGAAATATATATATGTNGTAAATTAAGTATTAATAATATATAAAAAGCATCATAAATAATAAAATTAAATACAAAATGCAGTGAGTCTCGAGTTTATTGTTGTTGTACTGTGAAAAATATAAACCATATTATCACCTAGACTATATTAAAGAATCAGTTGTGATGCCATAGGGAATGAAATGAAGGACACAGCAGTTTTGTGATATTAATATAGACTACCTTTCTAGTATAGTTTTGTAAAAGTTGAATTGTACTGTAGATACAGTAATACTTATCTCTAAAATTTCTTGAATTTTTAAGTGTGTCATTGAAATTACATTATAGTGCACGATTAAAAATATTATTACTGTTAACTAAGTGCATCGCAAGATTTTTCATTACACAAAATAGAGGCATAGTATTGCAGTTGTAGTTTAAAGTTGCAAACTTTTGTTAATTTCGAAATACTTGAAATCAGCTTTGGAGAGTTACCATATTATAAGCAAGGTAGAGTTCACTTGCATAGCAAGCCAAACAATAATCCAGTATCACTTAGTTTAGCAATACAGCCCAGTATCAAAAATCGTGAGATGTACCCTTAACGATACTCATCTAACACAAACAAAACTCACCTACCTCAAGTTTGGATTTTGTTTTTCAACATTTTTGAACAAAAGCACGGCAGATTTGCTTCTAAATTAATTTGTGGTGATCGGCACGTTAACTTTATTCATACTGCATTTAAAAACTATCTCATAAAAATTTTACGAATGTGTACAAATATTTTATGTGATGCTCCATAATTAAAAGTTTAGTGATAAGGAAATCACAAAAAAAATTCTTAGACACACTGTAAACGTTTTCATAGGTAAAAAATAAATGAATAAAATAAGAACCACAAATTAAAAACTAAAGCACGTGAAACTATTTTGTTTCTATTCATAAATACCATCAGCAGTTTCAATTCTTTCCATGCTTTGTTTAATTTAACTCCGCTTGTTTTCATGCGTACACTCGTTTCTTTATTTCTTCAGGTGTTAAAAACAATAACAAAATCAAGAGATATGGGTCAGTAAAAATGTTTAAATATCGGCTTTGGGATTAATTAAAAAATTTACCTATAATGAATTATAAGAGTTCATTAGACGCATATGTAGATAAATTATAATCTGTTTATTAAAATATTAAAACTTAAAAAAAAAACTGATATTTTTAACTGATATTAAATTGAGTATTGAAGTGTTAAGTTGATAGTTTGAAAAGGAAAGCAATAAAATATTGTAATATCCCCTTACCCTTTGAAACCCAAGTAATTACTCTTGGAATTATTTTTCGTTCTGTCTTTAGCATTCGGTATTCAAGAAGAATAATATCCACCCCTCCCAGCCTAGTCTTAATATATCCTCTTTGATTGGTATTATTAAAGTCAGCCTTTTCCGGATTCTCCCCTCGCTTTAGACTCTTTCCGTATAATCCAGCGTATAATGTTACTACTCATTAAATTTACTGTAAACAAAATTCTGGCTCTGTTAACGGAATGGATTATACCATTTCTCATTTCACCAGAGAGAGAGATACTTTTCTGTTCACAATCACCAACTTCTAGGACATCTAGGTAATCCGGATGTACGGATTTTTTGCCTGTTTTGGGCCGCATCATTTGTAGCCTCTTGCTCAAGAACTTGGGGAAACGATTAAATTCCTCACATTTTCCATTCCCAATTGAAGAACAAACTGGCTTAATCCTTAACAAAGGATGAGGGTTTCACCTTTATTTTTATGAAAGGGTTTTGATAATGCTCATTAAATTGCAGTGGGAAATAGGCAGAAGTTAGTTGTAGAAGATTAAAATAAATCGCATTTATTTAGAAATGTAAGTATGAGGATATTTACCCAGAAGATAACCGCAAATTGCCGGATTATTTTATTTAAATAATTGACGCATGCCTATTTAAACGAGATATGAATCAGTTCTTAAATAATGTCTTATTTCTTGCATATTTTTGTCTGTGTCTTAAGTGGAATTTAAAAAGTAACAGTCCTAACTTTCTAGGAGCTTCTGTAACAAAAGCTAACTTTATTGGCTTGGATTAAAATTAAGTTGAATTCGAAATTTCATTACACGTTTTGAATAATTATATATCAAATGTATTATTTGCATGATGTATTTATTTATAAAATTCCTATCTAATTAATTATCATTTAGAAGGAACTGTTAGCTGTCAAACACTATGAAAAAGTATATGAGTATCGTTTCTGACATGAATTTCTATATTATTTTTAGTTTTGAGAAAATTTCTTTTAATTTCATGAGCAAAAAATGATGAACCAATGCACTTTTCAGTAGACTAAAATATCTCTTTAATATTTTAACATAATAACATAACCAAACATAAGAAGACAAGTCGTAATAAATTTCTCAGGAAAACATGAAATTAAATTAAACAATGCATACAATATATGTAAATAAGCATAAAAACAGATGAAAACGTATGAAAATAAAATTATTAACAAGTACCAACGAGTGGAAATAAATGAAGTAACACATTAAAAGCACATAAAAATAAATTCAGAAATTAATGAAACAATTGTACACAAGTAAAATTACATGTATTTGTATTACAGGTACAAGCAAAACAATTTTTTTAGTTGGTACTACATACTACAAGCTGATACGATAACTCCCATGCTTCCTATATTATTTCTATAATTCTATTACTATATTATTACATATTTTTTATCTTTCAATATTATTCCTTCATTATTTACATATTTCTATATAAGACTAAACTTTAAAGAAGAAATTTTAGCAATTTGCTTTTTATTAAATCATTAAAGTAGATTTTTCATGCGTTTAAAAATAATAAAATATTAATTTCTTTTTGTAAATATTTCATAAATATTTTCATTACTAATTTTTTCTGGTATTATTGTGTCTACTTTTACAACAGTTCAAAAAATGCCTCACAATTATCATATATTTCATTCTCAATAACTTTAGTGATAAGGATTGATAAAAATTCTTTTGAATATTTTGGAAATGTCCAACTTCAATATTCTTCAATATTTAACTTCTCAATAATATTATTTTCAATATTATTCTTCAATATTCAATATTCAACTTCATATAGAAAATTTTAAGGTAAATTAAGTATTTCGCTTTCAAATATTCTCATCAAATCCTGTTTGCAGGAATAATTTGTAAGATTATAATTAATGTATCTAAAAAAGTTTAAATTATTTATCTGAATAAAGCAAAGAAAAATATCGTTCCATGCTTGCTGGGATTGAAGTTTAATAAGGTTTGGGGTTTCAAATCATTATGTACTGAAATATATATTTTCCCGCGAGAACTAAAGAAAAAAAATTTTTTGATTCTAATAAGCAAAATCCAATTACTTATTATCAATCAGAAAAGATATTTCATTGCTTATATTTTATTCTGTACATCACAATGTCAAAATCAGTAAATTCCTTCAAAGATAAATAAAAATTACAAATTCTAAAACTACTAACTATATTTAAGCTTATAAAAGTCTCATCTGTAGAAAATCGGAACTTTTTAATATATTATCTTATTGTAAGTTTTAAGATTAAAACAAACTACTAGTTTTTATTTTTAAATAGATGCTTGTATTTCTTAGGTTTCGAAATAAGTAAGAGAAAGTGCAGAATGTTGTCTAATTATTTCTCTGTGGGAAATTAAGAAAAAAATATGAATTCGTCATTTAAACTCATTGCCTTGATTCAAATTTCTTTTTAATAAAAAGAAAGAAAGTTATATAAATCAACTTTTTTCAATCTCTCTTTTAGTTGCATGCCGCTTTGTAATCATATTAAACAAGAAAAATCAAGCGCATGCAACAGATATATGAAAGGGATATCTCTAATTATCTTTTATTTACTGAGTCTGATTCGACTGAAAATACTTTTTTCACCTTTTTAACGTAAGTAAAGACATAGATCTAAAGCGAGGCTCATCTTAATTGACTCAACCTACATATAATTAAAGCGTGGAGCGTAAGAAATAAAAATAGCTTTATGAACGGTATTTTTTTGTACTCGGCAGATAGATGGATGATTATAAATCCACATGTTGGCGACAATTTTTAGGGCTTTTCTTGTATTTTTCTTATTAATTTAGCTTCAATTTTGGTACACTGTTGTTAATATATGGATGATTACTATGAATAAAATATGTTTTTATCTAAAAATGAAAAAGTATTTCACCGCGTTTTAATTCTGAATTATTCGTGAATAGATCGTAATTTAGATGGCGGATTCTAATTCATATTTAATCACAAAAAGTAATAAATTCAAATTAAAACTATCTTTTCTGGCAGAATTTGTTGATTGCAAAAAGTTTAATTTTATTTATGCATTCACTTTTTTCTTAGAATGTTGTTCTTTTTAAATTGATATGCACAGTTAAAATTTTATATTATTTAAATATTTAAATATTCATTTCAGATGTATTTGGTTAGTACACGTGGTCATTACTATTTGAGGGATTTAATTTTGTTGTTAATGATAATTAAAAATTAAATTATATGCCCATGAAAGGGAGGAATTATTTTAATTTTTTTAATCTACTTATAAACTAAAAATTAACTGCATCTGCAGGCTTTTTTAAGATAATTTTCTAGATTTAAGTGCTATAAATAGTCTAATGCTTGATTAAACGAAGTTTGAAAAGATTAAAAATTATTTGTTATTGCTAATATAATTCTTAAATTTTCGAAGAATATGCGAAACGCATAAAATATAAAAGAAATTGAAATGATGAAGAAATAGTCATATTTCATTACCTGCACATTACTTCATGTGTTAAAAGAACTCGGCACATTTCGGGGTTTTTGTCTTGGCCTTCATAAGGGACGGCCTGAAAAATAAGTAAACATAGTGAACATGAAGTAATATAAAAATTTGATAATAACATTGAAATGTAATAAATGGTTATGTGCTTATATGTATGAAACAGCGCATTTTTAAAGTGAAATCATTTTTTCTATACTATACAATACTATATATATATATCTATCCATCTATATATATATATATATATATATATAAGTTCAAAATGAAGAAAAATTATAGACATATGAAAAAAA